TATAGATGAGATGCGTTTCTACGGTCGTCCAGACTACAGCTGGATAATGAAGATGCTGCGCGCATATCTCACCGAGAACAGGATCCCTGAGCATCCATATGACTGGGAATGAGGGATGTGAAAGATAAAATTGAAATATTTCGCCCTATTGATTTGCCTCACGATTGTATAAATATTTCGACATTCGTTTTCGCTATAATTGTATTTTACTGTATTGTATTGCTATATTTGTATTGTGTTTGTATATATTCTAATAAATTATCGTGTTATTAAGGTGTTCTAAAATTTTTTCGAGTTGTGTTTAAGAAGGGCGATGTAATTAGACTTTTCACGGACTTTTACAGTACTCGATAGGGAGTAAGTATAGTTTATCACAACTGATAGCTTTTTTACTTGCCTATTTTTGTGCCTTTTTGGCTTTTTGGTCCCCATTTAGGGCGCCTATTTCTCATTTTTTACTTGCCTATAAATCCGAGCTTTAATGCAGTTTCAAACAAATTAAAAATACTTTCTTAATTCGGCACTAAACCGGTCGTTTTTATCAAATTTCTTTTTGTCAGACAAAATTTTGTAAGTCTAAAAATTTAGGAATTTATTTGAAGAATATTTTATTTAAAATTCAGATGATACGAGATTCTCTTATTTGTTATATACGCCAATGTTTTTCCTTTCAAAGTCGAAGATTAATTTATAACAGTAAAGTTTTATGTAAATATCAAGAACAAAAATCAACTTCCTCTAGAAATCCAAGCAATTTAAACTATTTTAATGCCTATGTCTTAGCAATGGTTGGCAATTATGATCCTCTTTATAGGCTTTACTTGGAGCATGAATGTGGACAAAAGCCGGCGGGTGATTGGAAAAATGCTGATCCAAAAGCAGGTTTAAAATAAATATATTTGGGGGGAAAACGGACAGTTTCTAGTCTCTTGAAAATTTAATTTTAAAATTAACTCTCAAAATTTTATTTTAAGTTGATGAAGTTTTACTACGTTTATACAACTTTGAAAAACGTCTTTTAGTTGTTGCTTTGGTTCTCTTATATTTTTCATTTTTAATATTTTTGTACATCGCAATTATATATTTTAAAAGAAAAAATAAACAAGAGAAGATTAATTTGGATGATTTTAAAAAATGGGAATGTGAATTTGAAGTACATGAAATTATAGAAATTAATGAATTTTTAGAAAAATATTTATTTAATGGAAAGGTTTTTACTTTTAAATTTAAAAAATATATTTTTTTAAAGGTAAAGAAAATTATTCATTATTCACCACCAAATGTATTATTGGCTACTTTAGAGGATGGAAAAATGAAATTAGTTGATTGTAGAAAAATAAATAAAAATTAAAAGAAGTTTTGGCCCTATCCTAAAAAGAGGGCGCCTTGATTTTTTTTCATCATTTTTTTCCAACCTTAATATATAAATAATGGTCAGTCTTTTCTTCTTCGTGCAATTCCACTCTTTTTACCTTTGGCATATTCAATTGAGAGGACAGAAAAGAACATACACTGCAGACAAAACACGGACGGACACACACAAACTTGTTTTGTCTGTCCGTGTTCGTCCGTGTTTTGTCTGTCCGTGTTCGTCCGTGCTCGTCCGTGTTTTGTCTGTCCGTCTTCGTCTGTGTTTTGTCTGCCCGTGAGTGTATTTTTCTGTCCTCTCATTTGAATATGCCACAGGAAAAAAGATTGGAATTGCACGAAGAAGAAAAGACTGACCATTATTTATATATTAAGGTTGGAAAAAATGATGAAAAAAAATCAAGGCACCCTCTTTTTAGGATAGGGTCGAAGTTTTTTTTGACAAAAACGATTCGGAAAGTTTAATTTATAAAATCCCAAAAAATTTATAAAATATTTTTTAAAAACACGAAAAAATCCTTACAATTAGAATAATTTCTAAAATCATTATTGTAATTCAAGTTGGGGTCTAATCAATTTCGCCTTCAAATCATTTGTTGCTGCATAACCTGTCCCACCTCGACTTAATTCAATTACATCAGAATCTTGAAGAGACTTCCCACAGAGGGGATCAATCATGTCCAAACGAATAATTTTTTCCATACAAGGGGAACAAACAACAGATTTCCTAAAAAATTAATAAAAAAATATTTTTTTAAAAATAAACTAACGATGTTTTTAAATAAACACAACGAATACTGTTTGTGAGAACATCACGAGATATTGGACAAATATAACGTTCATTCATAGCAATTAATTTACTAAATTCAATTCTTTCATCAATTGGGGTAAACTTGACGGGAAGAAGTTCTTTGAATTTTAATTCAACACCGCTGATTGGACACAGAATTTTATTTGACTAAAAAAAGAATAAATTGAGATAAACAAAAATAATTAAGGGGGTTTTGGGAAAATATTAGTGTTGCGCCGGAACCGGATCTGAAACCTTGACCGGAATCGGATAATTTTTTTGTTCCGGGCCAGAACCTTACAAACGAGCCGGAACCGGAACCAAAAAATCCCGGAACTTCCGGCCTACCGGAACTTCCGGCCTACCGGAACCGGAACTTCCGGCGCAACACTAGAAAATATATTTATTGTTAAATTTTTTAATCCCCAATGTCAATAAATCTCTTTTGGAAAAAATTTTAAAAAATACCGGTTTCTCAATTCGATCAGGTTCTGCTGTTGTAGAAAGAACAGGCACCCAAAAACTTTTCCATTCCTTTGCTTTTGCCCCTTCCATATTTGAAATACTTTCCTCTTCAAAAACTTTTTTGCTGTTGCTTGGCCCTTCCATCTTATCATTTTGTGGACGTTTTAATGGTCGAACATCTGGAGTAGACGGAACTTGTGTTTTTTGGGGTAAAGGGGCTGATTCCAAAGCAATTAATTTTTCTTTCATTTTATCTTTTTCTTTCTTTAAAGCCTTAAAAAAATTTTAAAAAAGAATTCTGAATCAAATAACATCCTTACATTTTCAATTTTTTCTTCATCAATCCGTCTCTGTTGTTCCCAAACTTTCAATTTACGTTTGTATGCTTCTTTTTGATCCAATATATAATTTAAAATTGCCTCACGATCAAATATATGCCCTTGTGGCGATATTAATGGTTCTCTAAATTAGAAGGTAAAGAATGAGTAAATAAATAAAAAAAACCTGCATGGTTGTAAACTAAGAGAACAACAATCAAACGATTTCATAGAATCTTTTCCCAAACGTTCATGTAAAGTTCCATAACCAGAAACACTAGCATCTTTTCGACGTTCATGATAGGTGTAAACTGAAGCTGCTGTTGCATTTTTTGCATGACGAGTCATTTTGATTATTTAAAATACCATCAAATTTCTACGAAAATAAAAACCAAAATCTCGTTAAACAGCTGGTACCGAAAAGGGTAGGGGACCTTTCAGAGTAGGCCGTTTCAGGGCAGCCGGTTCAGAGTACGGCTAAATTGGGGAACTATTGAGTCCCGCCGGTTGAGTTCCAAATCCACATTTTAATCAATAATTTTTGGATTTTCGACTACTAAATTTCTGAAAATGGGGAAACGAAAACATAAAAAGAAAAGAATGTAGGTATTTAATTTTTAGTTTTTTATTCAAATTAAATTTTAGTGTTAAGAATTCTGGTTCTTCAAGAATCGTGCTTTCTCAAAAAGTCGATGACGGTGATGAAGTATTTGATGAAATAGACAAATTTCACGCTGAATATGATGCGAAGCTTTTAAAAATTGTTAAGCAACCAAAAAAACCTTTGGCAAAAGAAGTTTTGAGGGTTATTTCTGATGAAGATTTTTCTGAAGATGAAGAAGGATTTACTGATGGAGAGGAAAGTCTAAATAATGGTTATTTATTTACTCTTATTTTAATTTAATTTTTTTGTAAAGATAACCAAATAACTAGCAATAAATGGGGGAAATTACGTCGTAATTATTATGGAACATCCTATGTAGATGGTGATTATGGTGGAGCAATTCATGATTCTGACGAGGAAGAGGCTTTACAATTAGAAGAACAAGACGCAATCGCTCGCCAAATAAAATTAGAAAATGCAAATTCCTGCTTGGATTTTAATCAATTTTTCCGAAAAGAGTTTGAGTTGAATAATTCTGAAGAGAATGATGATCCGGGTGAGGAATGTGGACTTGCTGATTTACTTCAAATTGAAGTTCAACACCCGGCAGTTACAAGTAATTCATCGGATGGGGAAGGAAACGAGGATGAAATTATTGAGGAGGTTGGGATTTTTTGAATTGATTTTCCTTTAAATTATTCAATTGTCTTCCCTTAAAATTAACTGCATCCTATTAAATCAATTTAAATGTTTAATTAAGATTGATGACGATTCTAATTCTGAAAATTCCTCTGTGATGAGTGAGTCTGATGTTAAACAAGGAAATAAAGATGATTCTGGCAGAGAGAGGAGAAAAATAACATATGAGGTTATTTTATATTTTTTTAATTTTTGAGCTGATCATTTGCTTTTCTTCCCGATTTCCCTCCTCAAAAACGCATTGGTCAGACCTCGATTTCAGCTTATTCCCCTATTTTCTTCAAGCCTCGATTCGAAATCGTTTAAGGAATGAAAGTGCTGAAAAGTAGTTAACAGCTTCAAAATTTCCTTTTTTTATTTTAGATGAGAAAAAATAAAGGTATTCCAAAAGATAGAGGACGGAAAAAGATTAAAAGGCATGCCCGTATTGTTAATCGAAGGAAGTTTCATAAAGCAATGATAAAGAAACGGTCACAGGTATTTTGTTGATGTAAGATCAGATTTTTCATTTTAATCCAAGGTGCCTGATTTGCGACGCGAAATTGATCGATATGGAGGTGAAAAAAGAGGAATTCGTGTTAGTACAATTAAATCTATTAAATTTTAAATTATTTTTCTTTATTTTAAATTTTTAGTTTTTTTAAATTTTGTTAAATAAACTTTTAAAATAAAATTTTAATTATTTTTATGATTTACAAATATCTTTTTATTACCTTTTTTATTTGCTAACATTTTTTAAATATTTCTTAAATATAGAATGACATCAAGAATTCATAGGCTCTGGTTTCCTGGTGATGGAAGGCCTCGTGTTTTTTTGCCCGATTTTTGGATAAAACTTTTGGAACCTCATAAGGTTGGGTATATGCGATTACCAAAGAATGCTGCAATGTTTGAAGTGGATCTGAGGATGTCTCGATTTGGTAATTTAATTTTTGTGAAATTTGGAAAATAATTCAGATGGGTTTTTCGGGGGTTGCTTTGGAAATAATGGTATATTTTATGTAAAATTTGATTCTCGGTTTTGGGTGAAATTATTGGCAATTTCCAATTGAAATAAAAAGAATTTAATATTTTTTAAATTAAATTTAATTTTTTAAGATGTCCGAGAATATTTGGAAAAAATTTACAAATTTCCCGTACGTGATGTTCGTTTAAGAAATGTGGAAGGAAAAATCACTTGGGATCATCCATTAGATAAACAAAAGAGAAGAGCATTGTGGAAGGATGAGGACAAGAAAATAGCTTTTGTTTTCTTTAAGGTATTTAACATAATTAATTTGAAGGATCAGTAAAATTAAAAAATATCCTCTTTAATTTTTTAAGAAATTCACTTTTTCTTTAAAATCAAAATAATTTTTAGAAGGATTTTGTCGCAGAATTCCCTACATTATTTACTGGTGAAGAAGATGCGGATGAAAAAAGATTAGAACAAACTAGACGAGGAAATGCAAACAAGATGAACATTGATTTTATTAATAAGGATCGAGCTGGAGTTGGTGAAATGTTGCCTCTTTGATTTTTTGAAATTTTTTAATAAAATTATTTTCTATAATATTTTTATTTTAAATGTTAAAAAATAACTTTTAAAAATATTTTTTACTTTTTAAACACTGAAACTAAAACGATTTTTAGATTTGCTTATTATGAATGCTAAAATTGATTTAGGCGTTTCAAAAACAAGTTTGGCTCAATTCAAGGAACGCTTCAAATCTCTTCACCAGAAAAGGGTAAACTTCCTAATTTAACAAAAATAATTAATAAAAATTTAAATTTTAGGAGGAATCCAGAAAAATAAATCATGAACAAGTAGTTGAAGAAGATAGACGTTCAAAATTGCCGGCTAATTTTGAAGCGAAAAGAAGAAGACAAGAATGGGAATTGGCAGAACTTGAAGCGAAAAAGGTTTTTTTGAATTTTAAAATTATTTTGGAAAATTTTATTTTTAGAAAGCGGAGGAGAGAGGCGAAGATTTCGAACGTTTAAAAGCTTTGGATACACAAGCTGATGTGGCAGAGAAGATGGAAACGGCGAAAAGAAGGAAAAATAATCCGGACACGGGATTTGCTAGTTTGTTTATATTTTATTTTTAAATAAAAATTTTTTGTTTATATTTTAACTTATAGGTTACGAGGCAATGTCTCTTCGTCAATATGAACGTCAAACAAATTCAATTAAACCGGACATGGAGTCTTATCAAAAAATGAAAGAAGTTATGTAAGTAAATGTATATTTTAATTGTCTACTAAAATATATTTTTATAGAGGAGAAGAACAATTTTATCCATCAGCCAATACACTCATCCAAGGTTCTCATTATCCAACAGATAAAGCATTGGATCGTCTTTCTGAAGATGTTCACAATCAGTAAATTTATTTTAAATATTTTTTAATTTAAAATAAAATCCGTAAATACTCGAATAGAAGCCCTGGGCTTATATTTTTCAATGGGCCCATCCGGATGGGTTTATATTAGAGGTGGGCTTCTACAAGTTGTGGGCCTCTATTAGAGTATTTACAGCATATATTGGGAAGCTGGCAAACTGGATTGTTCTGAAATATTTGCTTCCTAGAAATATTTTTAATTTTTTTTATAATTTTTGGCGGTTAAAATCAGACTAGAACATGGATACGAATTTTGATATCCATATCCGGATATTTACGGCGGATGCAGACGGATACAGGCGGATATCCGTAGGCATTTTTGTATTATCTGTATCCGTATCCATGACCATGTCTGGTTAAAACAAAACAATTTTAAATTCAAAAAATTCCTTTAATTTTTAAACATTTTTTACAATTCAAAAAATTAATTAAAGAATGAAAAAACGAGATCAATATCACCGTAGACGTATGTTTGATCCAGATGCACCTATCGATTTTATTAATGAACGTAATCGTAAATTTAATCATAAATTGGAACGTTATTATGGAAAATATACTGCAAATATTAAAGAAGATTTGGAACGTGGAACGGCTATTTAAAAAAGTGATTTTATAAAGAACAATTAAATTTTTGTAAATGTATTTTTATTTGAAATGATAAAATTGATATTTTGTGGACATTTTGAATTTTTATATTTTTTACAAATTTATATTAGAGGGTGTGCTTCTATTGGAGAATTTACAGTAATTATTAAATTAAAAATAATTATAATTATTTTGAGTAAAGAACAACAACAAAAAATAATAATAACTTAAATATATATTTAATCATGCGTCACGTCCGTCCATCAAATAGATCAACTAAATGATTAAAAACATTTAGTGTTTGTTGCATAATGGAAAAGTGGTGTGATTTTTAATAAAAATAAAAAGCAAAAATAAAATATTAAAAAATAATTTTATAAAAATATTAAATAATTTAAAAAATAAATTTATTAATTTTTATTTTAAATAAATTTATATAAAATTATATTAAGTAATATTTTTAAATAAAAATGAATTGGGAATATCATACGATAATCGAGATCGATATGTCAAAGAATATTGATGTCGAAATTTTTTTTATTTAATTTTTCATAACCGAGATATTTTCTGCGATTTCATCTCAATCCGATCTTTAATTATAAATAAATATATTTTTTAAACATTTTTTCTTAAATTTATTTAATAAAATAAAGATCAACTGATTTATTTTTTATTTATATATTTATCACAATTTCCTCTGCAACAAAACATTTTTAGATAAATTAATTCTCTTTTTATTTAATTGCCAAATCAACACAAAAAAGAACATTAATTTGACTTTCTTTTTTTTTTTCACAATTTTTATATCAGTAAATTGTTACATTTAATATTAATTCTTTTTTTTTCTAGAATGTTAAAATCACGAGAATTTATTTTAAAAAATAAAAATAAATAAATAAATGAATTATTATTTTTTTAATTAATAAATTGAGGAGGGTATTTCAAAATAAAATTTTTTAATTTTTAAATACAGTCGAATATACATAAAATGTTTCTCTCTCACAATCCACTCCTAACCAGAGGTTGAATCTGAATTCCGATTTCCTACTTCTACTAATTTTTATAGCATATTCCGACTGAAGATTTTCCCAAAATTCTCAAAATTTTCGCCGATTTCCGGCATCTTCGTCATTGCCGATTCACCTCTGCTCATAACGGGGGATTTCGTTGTTCCTTTTTTATTTATAAATTTAAAAATTACCTATATATTATTTTGTTTTTACAATTAAATATTTAAAATACTTTTTATGTTTGTTTGATTAAATTGTGATAAGAAAAAAAGTTAGAGTGATTGAATATATTTTCGTTTTTTGTCTAAATTTGTGTTTTGATTTGTTTAAAAGTGTGTTTTTGTGTTAATTAAATAAATAAATAAATATATTTATTTTTGCAAGAATTTATTTTATGTTTTAACCTTTTTTTTCGTTAAATAAAAATAAATATTTAATACTTTTTGGACAGTCATGAAAATTTAAAATATTATTGAGAGAGAGGTGTGTGTTTTTAATATTCTTGTAAAATAATTTTGTGCAAACTTTTTAATTAAATAAAAAAATATTTTTTTTAATTTAAAGACTGTTTTTTAAATAAACTACTAAATAAGTTCTGGAATTTTTTTGTTTTACCAAAAAATGTTCAGTAAATTTTCAGTTTAATGTTTTCTAGAAATACAGTGACGGAAATTTAGTTAAGAAAAAATATTACGTATTAGTGATATTTCTCAAAATTATTTTTTCAAACATTAATTTGGAACCTTTAATTTTAAATAATGTTGAAATTAATGTTTGAAAAATAATTTTCAGAAATATCACTAATAATATTTTTTAACTAAATTTCCGCCACTGTATTATTTTATAAAATACACACTGGAGATTCGATTAAAAAATATCTAGTATTTCCTCACAATATTTTCTTTACTTAATTTCTTCATTTTTTTAAATAATTTATTTATTTTTCTACAAAATTAACTCAAAATATTTTTTTACAAATTTTTGTCATAATACATACAAACAGTAACGGCTATATAAGCGTATCCAAATACTTTAAATAAATAAATAAAAATATTTAAAAATATTTATTTATTTGCAATAACCAGTTTGTAGTTAAAAAAAAAGAAATATTTTTGTTTTGATTTTTGTAAAAATTTTTTGTAGATAAATAGAAATAGGTATTTTAGATTAAAAATTAAAATTTTATTTTATTTATTTTTCATTTTGAACTTTTAGTGTACTTTTTTTCAAAAATTGTTTGATTCAAATAAAATATTTGGAATAATAGACTGAATGAAGTCCGGGACCTTTTTAGATTTTTTGTATAAAATTTATACTTTTATTGGGCCCGAAAACACCAATGGATTAAGGTAATAAGTAATCATTTAATCGAGGGGAAAGCAATTTTTATTATGAGAGAATTGTAAGGCAGAAAAGGCCTTTCCTAAAATAAAGCCTTTCCTAAGGCTGTGCAGTAGGCGGATTGGTGTAATGGATCATAAGTCCGGTCTACTGAAGATGCTAGTTTGCTCCCAGCCGCCGAATAACTTTTTAAAGGAGAGAGCTGCTTTACTGAATTCTCTCTTTAAAAAAAATAAAATTTCTTTTCATTTTTTAGTAATGTTTTTAGACTAAAATAATTAGAATTATTTTTATTTTTAAATTCCCTGTTTTTTAATTTTTATTTTAAAAATTAATTTGCAAAAATATAAAAAAAAAATTATTTGATTGGCAATAAATTATAAATAAATAATTTATTTATTTATTTATTTTTTATTATTCCAGTCTCATTATTCAATCATTTTTATTTTATAAAAATTCCTTATCAGTAAATATTAATTTGCCAAAAAAATTCCAAAAAAATATTTAGAGAGAAACAATTTCAGCGCCAAAATATTTTAATTTTATATACAAAACATCAAAGAACATAACCAAAAAAATTAATTTTTGTTCATCTTCTCCTTCTTCTCCTTCTTATTTTCCAATTTCATTTAATTATTTTGTTATCACAACAATTTATATATCTTTTAAAAAATATATTTTATTGCCACACCTTTATTAAATAATTACTACAAAAATTTTCCGCAATTTATTTTAATTAAAAATATTTTTTCTTCTTATTTTGTAACTAAATCACTACTGTATTTGTTTAATATTTTAACTAAATATTTTTAAAAATATTTCTGTCTGTTAGAGAGGGAGAGAGGAAACAAATAGTATTTCTAAATTTTACAAAATTATTTCAAAATTTTTTTCCTTGTTTTATTTAGTCATATATTTATTTATGTTTAAGATTCAAGCACTTCCATTATTTATTTTTCTCGCATCATAGGTTTGAACCTCTCCCGTTTTTTGGTTAAAACGGTAATTATTTACATACTTAATTAACATCTAATTTGACACGCTTAATCTTTTCCCAAAAAATTCTAGTCAATTATATATAGCTGGATCAAGGCGAATTTATCAGAATTTCCTATAGTGTTTTGTTATATCCGAAGTCTGATTAAGAAAGTTTCTCTCTAAATATTTTAAATATCATAACCGGATTTCCTTATTTTAATCTCTACACTTTTAAATACAAATCAAATGATTTTAAAATGATTTTCTATTTAAGGGGTTTTCTTTAATTTTAAATTTTTCCCAAAAAAGTACATACAAATAATTAAATTTATTTTAAAATTAAAAAATAATATCTTATATGAAAATAAATATTTATTTATTTATTTTTCTAAATTCCCTTCCGAATTAATTAATTAATGTCATTAACAAATTTTCTGATTTGTTCTAAATTTTAATTATTTTTATGACACAAAAAACGTTAAAATGACCCAGACAATATTTTTAAAAATAGAATAAATATAGGGGAGGAATTAGGTTGACAAATAAATAGTTATTTTTAGTAAAAAGGATAAAGTTGTTGAAAAAATTAAAGTAAATAATATTCTAATAGAAAAACTTACAAAAATTAGAAATGTCAAGACTTTGAAATTTATAAGGCTCAAGACAATTTTAAAAAATGAAATTTTTAAAGGGGAAAACTAATTCCGTTTGTATTTTGAATTTTTAATCAAGTGTAAAGTCCCTAAAAATTTTTTGTTTTAAGAAGATTGTTAGCTTAATATGCATGAAGGATCCTTATTTAAAGAGTTTTGGAATTTATTTTTAATATTATAGTGTAAAAAAGGTGAGAAAAATTCACTTTTTTGTGATACTTTTTCTAAAAATAAAAATAATTTTTTTACCAAATTATTTTAATTATTTTTTTTTTATTTTTATAAAAAATATTTTCTATTTTTAAACAATTTTTTAATTTATATATTTATTAATTTATACGTATAAATCCTTCCATTTACTTAATAAATTCCATCATAAGATTTTTGATTTTTTTCTTTTTGTTATAAATCCCCCCATACATCCGGCAATTTAATAAATTATTTTTTAAAAATTATTTTTGGACTATTTAGTGCCTAAAAACTATTGGTATATATTTTTTAATAAATAATTTTTTTAAAAAGATTTTTAAAAATTAATTATTTTATTAAATTTTTGTTTCTTTATTTTTTTAAATTTTTTTCTTTTGAATATAAAAAGTTTTTTTTCTCGTTTATTTTTTAAGAATAAAAAAGTTCTTCTTTTATTTTTTTATTATTAAAAAAAGGGAAGTAAAGGAATAAAAAGAAATCTAAAAAAATAAATCACATGAGGAATTTTTTAATAAAAAAATATTGACATTTTATTTATAAATTTATATTTTATACATAGTATATTTTTTTTTATTTTTTATTATTTTTTATATATACATATACATACATATAAATAATATTTTAATTTTTAAAAATAAAAAAAAATATTTTTTAGCCTCTTTTAAATATAAGTTTGGTATTTTTAATAAATTAGAATTAAATAGGGAAGGAGAAAATTTATTAATTTAATTATTTTATTTTAAATTAATTTTTGATCTTTTATTAATACAAAAAAATAATTATATCTATTTATCTACATAGCACTTTTTCTTTTATTTTAATT